TGCTGTGCATCTGTCTCCCTGCCAAGCCTTGCATGCCTCTTGCTAGATAAGGCATGTGTTTTCCAAAATAGCGAGGGCTAGGATTGGAGTGGGAAACAAGTGGTCTTCGACTGTATGGTCTGTCCCTGTCCATCAAGCTCTTAACCCTATCCCCAGGTATCATGGTGATCCCATCCTCTCAGGTTAACATGATACTTTAATGCAGTAAAGCCTTTGCTTGTAATACTTCGATTTAATAACAACATATGATGCCAGACCACGAAGCAGCCTTCAAGGCCATCTCTTTATTTTTACTTCTCCTATATGAATAAACTGTATAAAATGTTAAAAACCATATAGAGCATTCCTTAACTAAAAAATTAAGATGGCTTGAATACTTTATCCTTGAGTTGCTGTTCTGGAAAGAATTGCTGTGGGTTCAATACAGTACAGAGATTTGCCCACCCATTCTAAAGAGGCACCGAGTAACTTGTTTTCACTTAATTAATTCATTTCAGTTCAGAAGACACTTACGTTTCACTCGAAGGTGAGCACCAGATTTGGCATTTGCTGCTTGGAAATCTACTCCGCCAGCTTGATCTAAGCGTACATTGTACAGTGTAAGGAAGTGCTTTTTGCCTTCCTCCTTGATTTCACATTCCTACAAAGAGAGAAGTGAAAAAAATTTTTCAGTATCTTTTTTGTGCTCCTCACCACAAGAGCCCCTACTTCTCCTCATACCATGCATGTTATCTCCTCCTCCAGTCACAACACTTAGGCTCAGTGCCACCTGCAACTTATAACTGATAAACTTTCATTCATAAGCCTTTACTTTCAAAGCCTTCTTTCAAGATCTTTTATTTCAAAGTACATTTTAAAATTTATTAATGAAAAAACCCAGTATTTTTATTATAGTGAGCCTTACTGAAAACAGACAGTTATTTCACTTAGTTTCTGCAGGCACCTTTTTCTCCTTCACACCCTATCTCCCCTCAAATTGTTGAGACACACATAAGAAACATTCTGAAGTATTTGCTTACAGCTGATTCAGTCAGGGGTTCTCCTTTTAGCTTCCAATTTCCATGGACACCTTCCTCAGAGATTTCAATGTCAAAACGGGCAGTCTCTGTCTCAATCACCTCCACACTGTATAGTGGACGTATAATCTCAATATCCCGGTCTGACAGGGAAAAAAAAAAAAAAAAAATTATTGATTCCCTCAATCTCTAACAGACCCCAAAATATCTCGACTACAGAAGAGCCCAGTAAAATAACCATACCTTCAATATTGAGTTTAGCAGATGTTTGATCAGTACCACAGTCACAAGTGTACTGTCCAATGTCTTTCTTCAAAGCTTTCTTGAGGATAAGGATTCTCTTTTTGCCATCAGCCTTAATAACAACATTCTTTGAGGGAGTAATTGGTTTGCCATCCTTCATCCATTTCACTGGTGCATCTGCTTTACTGATTTCACATTGTAAGATTACTTCATCTTTCTCTACAGCAGTGTAATCCTGCAGCTTCCCGGTGAAGTAAGGGTCTCCCTCTGCAAGCAAAAGTTAAGATATGTTTCAATCTGAAGTTTTAGCCTTTGAGAAAGGACAATTAGTTTTTACCATTAAATACATTTCTTGTTTATGCCCTGCAAGAAGCATTAAATATAGTCCTTATAAATATTACAAAGTTCTGTTGCAAAAAGAGAAAGTAACAAATATCTAAGAAAAAAATCAGTGTATTACTAATATTACTGACAACACTGGTTTGGTGCTCTAGGAGTTTCAGAGCACCATTTAAGTATCTAATAGTTAATTTTGCAACAGTTGCATGAAATTTTAAATTATCTTAACTATCCTTGTGAATGGGGAAATGAAGAACTAAAGAAGACAAACAAATTGTAAAATTGTCAAAAATCACAACGTAGATTTAGGCCAAACCAAAAAACCCCACCAAAGCAAACCAAAACCAACCCCAAGGCTTTCTGATCACTGTTTTTCATTAATAAGACTCTTCTGGTAATATACAACATGTAAATTCTTTTGGGTATCCTTACCAAGAACAGTGAGTTTAGCTTCTGAGGACTTGCCCATAGCTTCCACTCTAATCTGAGAAGTATCATCAATAGTAAGATCTTTGATTGTGAGTGTATGGAATTTGCCATCGTCTGTCATTGAAACCACTTTGCTGGTATGTAATCGTTGGTCATTCTTGAACCAGACAACAGGGATATTTTCATGAGAGAGTTCCACAGTGAACACTGCAGTTTCTCGCTCCTTTTTGGTTACATCCTTGAGAGGAGTAATGAATTTGAGGCGGATACCTGTAACAAAAACGATTTCATTAATAATAACGTTATCAGTAAAAACTATTCAATGACTGTGGTGCAACTCTTTCCTAGAAAGGCAGTCAGACAAACCTTCAATAATTAGCTTGGCACTTGTTGTCTTATCCTCAGCTTCAAACATATATTTAGCTTCATCCTCAAATGCAACAGATTTAATAATCAGAGAATGCTTTGTTCCATCTGAAATAACTTCAAATCTTTCATCAGAAGTGATCTCTTGTGTTCCTTTCAACCAGCGGAAAGTCTTGGGTTCTCTGGACACCTCACATTCAAACTTGGCTTCATCCTTCTCGAAGACCTTCACATCACTCAGTGGAGTGATAAAGATGAGAGGCAATTCTGAAATCAAAGAAGAGCACGTTCAGTTCAGTGACAGGTTCATATAGACCTTTCTGCTGCTAGATTTGCTCTAATTCCCTGAGATACACATGGAAATGTTGGCAAAGTGCAGACTGTACCTTTCACTTTCAGATTAGCAGCACTTTTAGCGTTAGCAGCTTGGAAAGACACTTCTCCAGTCATATCAAGTTTGCAGTTATGAAGGACAAGAGCATGTTTCTTCCCGTCTTCAATGATTTCACAGTCCTGGTGATAAAAAGACACACACCCCACCTCAAATATGAATAATATTCTAAGACGCTACTCAGAAAACATTATTATTAAATATGTTTTTTCTAGTGTAAATTATGGACTAAAAATACAGAAGTCTTACAGGCGAAGGTGTTAGGGTTTCTCCCTTTAGCTTCCATATAGGATGGACATCAGGCTCAGAAATTTCAATTTCAAAACGTGCTGTTTCACCTACGAATACTTCCACTCCATACAGTGGGCGTTCCACTTTAATTAAGCGAGCTAAAATAAGAATACCCAAAAGTTAGTTCACATCTGTTTACTCATTCTATTCCACAGAAATGTAGTACTGGAAAGCATTCCAACTCTCTCCCTATCCCTTTAGGGCATTCAAGCTTAACACTGATAAATGTTTATCTAACCTCTTTTTAAAAAGCTGCAAATTTGGGCAGTCTACAAACCCCTTTTATAATATGTCTGAAAGTTTAGTTATTTTTGGTAAGAATATTTTTCCTCATAATTAACCCAGATATCTGCTACAGTGAATTAAATTAACTGCCTTTTTTCTAACTATAAATGGACATAGAGAATAATTGATCATCACTGTCTTTACAAGAGGCATTTGTATATTTTGACATATTGCCCCTTGTACATACTCATAATAATTTTAAATCTAGATACTTCAGCTATTCATCATAACAGCATGTTTTCTCAAGGTACAGACTTTGGTGGTGTACTCTAGAGAGTGTCTACCTGTCTACACTGTTATACAAAGGTTTCAGTACTCTCCCTTAGCCAAGGCATGACAACTTACGCTCAACGCTGACATTAGCACTTGTCTTGTCAGTTCCACAGTCACACTCATAAACACCCTTGTCACTCTCTGCAGCCTTCTTGATCTTCAGGATACGGCGCAAGCCATCTGTTTTTATGGAAATTCTGTTGGAAGCTACTAATTCTTCACCATCTTTGTACCATTTTACTGGCACATCTTTGCTAAGTTCACACTCCAGAATAATATCATCTTTCTCCACAGCACTGTAGTCTTGTAATTTCACAGTGAAATATGGATCGGCCTCTGCAAAAAGCATAGTGGATATGAAATGATAAATTAGTAATACAAATCTACTAAAACATCAATATTTTGTCACTTTCTACTTATTAAAAAGGTTTCTACATATTATATAGCATATTTTAAATTATTTATGTAATTACCTAGGACTTTGAGGTTTGCTTGTGTGTTCAAATCCTTGACTACGGCCTTTATTTCAGAGATATCATCAAGTGTTACTTCTCTCATTTCTAGTCTATGAACTTTGCCTTCTGAAGTCATAAAAACCGTTCTGCTTGTGTGCAGTCTCTTGTCATTTTTGTACCATTTCACTGGCATGTCTTCATGAGAAACCTCAAACTGGAAGTGAGCTGTTTCCCCTTCTTTCACTGTTTGATCCTGAAGAGGTGAGATGAACTTCAACCTCACACCTGTAATGTAGACACATAAATACCATCAGAAAAAGGCTAAGGTGGTTCCAAAAGATACATTCATTTGTTATTGTTTTGTTCATAAGAAGATACTTGCCTTCCACAAACAGTCTTGCTGTGCTCTTCTTGCCATCAACTTCAGCAGTGTATTCTCCCTCATCATCAAACTGAGAATCATTGATTATAAGAATATGCTTCTTTCCATCTGCAATGATGTCAAATTTGTCTCCAATCTTGATTATATCAGTGCCCTTAGACCATATAACATTGGCTTCTCTGGTAAGGACACATTCGAACCTTGCTTGGCGCCTCTCAGGGACAGTAACATCTTTTAGGGGCACAGCAAAGTCCAGTTCAATTTCTGGAAGCAAAACAGAACACGTAATTTGTAACATGCTCCATGTGAACTCTGTTTAAGTTGATATCATACTCCGTGATGCGTTGTACCTTTCACTGTCAGGATAGCTGCAGTAACTGCATTAAGTGCCTGGAAAAGGACTTCACCAGCTTGCTCTAACTTGACTTTATGCAAGGTTAGGAAACGCTTTCCTCCTTCAGCTTTGATTTCACATGTCTGGAGAGATGACAGACTTTGGTAAATACAATGCCAATGCCTTACTACTAGGTATTTTTAATAATAATAATAATAATAACAACAACAACCACGATAACAATAACAACAATAATATTTTTATTACTTAAAATAATTTTTATTTAAAATATTATTTTAATAATAATAAATGAAGGTATTCTATAAACAATTTATACACAGTAAAAAGTCAGCTAGAAAGATTGGGATTGTTTTTCAAGGAAAGTTAACACTTTTACTCAATAATAAAAAAAATATTGAGTACATTGCTTCAGTGTTCCACACTTCTTTTAAATGCCAGCATCATTCCTAGCAATGTATGCAGGATATTTCTATTATTGTCTGAATAATGCGCTATAATCCTTTGAGAAAATGAAGCCCTTCAAAACTTAGCTTTTATAGCATATAATTCTTACTCAGAGAATCAGTTTTTTTAAACACCATAATGCTTAGCCTTTCTATGTCCTGGACTGAGTAGCAATGACAGACCTGCAAAGATCTTACCATAAAGACTCAAGGGAACCTGTTCACAGTGTTTACATTTAAATAAACTGTGTTGTAAAATTTAAGGATGCTTACAGGTGAGGGTCTCAGGATTTCTCCTTTCAGCTTCCATTCACCAGGAATATCATCCTCAGATATTTCTGTATCAAAGTTTGCTGTTTCTTTCTCATAAACTGTAACATCCTCTAATGGCTTCAGAAGTTCAACCTCACGGTCTAGAATGAACAAAGGAACATGTGTAACTAGGTCAAGTTTTGATAGAGCTTTATAATAATTCAGGTTACTTTTTTGTTCGTTTGTTTAGAGGTTTTTGAACATTGTCTTATGAGCTGATTAAATATAATACAAATAAAAGCTTCCTTACCACCAAGGGTCAGTTTAGCTGGGTATCTGCGACCTTCAACCTCCACTGAATATTCCCCAATATCATCAGGGCCAGCATTCTTGATTTTCAGGAAAATTTTTTAAACCATTTAAAGTTTTGTGTATCCTTGACAATATCACAGGTGAAAGTAGCTGTCCCTTTTGGTTTCACATGCTGGTCTCTTATGGGTTTTACTAACCAGTCTCTTATCACTTCTGCATGACAAAAAGTTACATAAAAATACAGCTTAGCAGACTTTTACAAGTAGATGGGCCATAAATAGAAGAAATAGAACTACTAGATGTTGTTTTACAACAAGTTTTAATAGCTGCAAAAGTCATGTCTGTCCATTTATATTGTAATACTGTGGGAAAAAAAGCTCTCCTAATTTTAAAACAGCCCAAATATCCTACAGAGAAAGGAGAACATGATTTTGATTGCTTACCTACTACCTTAACACAAGATGAGCATGACAGCTCAGTGTCTTCCACGGTAACACTGTAAGTGCCAGCATCAGCATCATCTGAATCAATGATCGTGAGGGAATGTGACAAACCAATAATGCCCAGAGCAAATTTCCCAGGCTTGTCTTTGATGATCTTCCCATCCTTCCTCCAGATCACATTTCTTTCTTTGTTAAGCTCACATGTCAAGTACAGTGGCTGACTTTTAACCACAGTGACTTCTTCTTCAAGAGTTTTCACAAACCGCACTGGGAGTGCTGTGGGAAACACAACATTTTGATTTGTCTCTTATGTACAGAAGGTGTGATGCAGAAACGCCTTACATATTAAATCAGTAAGTGTAGTGATTGATGGAAACAAAAGGGTGCATCTACCAAACACTGTAAATTCACAAAGTACCAATACTTCTAGATTGGGGGGTAGCTAGCTTTTAAATTATTGATAAATTTGAAATGGGGAATACCTTCAACAATGAGTTTGGCTGTAGAGGTCTTCTCTTTGTTTCCCAGTCGCAATACACAAGTATATTCACCAGCATCTGACAGCTGGACATCAATAATATGCAGCTTCCTATCTTTGCCATCAGCAATAAACTTGTGTTTTGGGCTCTCTCGGATGTTACTTCCATCTTTCATCCAGCTGGTAATTGCAGTAGATGGTGAAATAAGGACTTCAAAGATTGCGGAAGACCCAACAGATTCAGCTTCTGTTAGCACTATATCTTTCATCTCCTTGACAAACTTCAGTGGTACAGCCTTGAGTTGGTAAGTGAATGGAGGCTCTTCAGGAGGTTTTTCACCACCACTGCCTGGCCTGAGTTTCCTTCTTTCTGCATCTGCTGGTGAAGGTGTCTTCTTGGCTGTAATTCACATTCAGAAATTAATAAACTAATCCTGATTTATTGCTTTTTCTTACAGGTATTTACTTGTAGAATATCCTACCTTTGACTGGACTGATACCCTTCGGAGTTTCTTCTTTTGGTGTCTTGGCCTCTGAGGAAGAACAGCAATATTATTAGGAATGTAGTTAAACAAACATACATACTAAAATTAAGACAAACAGTTATTTTAAAAATCAGATTTTCTCTTCATTTAACTATATACACATACAAAGGGAGAAAGCTATAAACATATGTATATATTTATACAATTTATACTGTCTATATCTCAATGGTAAGTTCATTATCTTGAAGCATGGGAAAGACACATATTCAGCAGTGGGTCTGAAAGGCAGCTTAGGAGCTCCTAGTTTCTCAATTTACTGTCCTGCTCATAATTTTGCAAAATTCTGCCATTTTTCCTGACACTCTACTCACAATTAGGCCCTTGATCAATACCCATCTGTCAATCAAAATAGTTTAAGTACCTATTACAAATTATATGGTGGGTTTTTTTAGAAAAAGCACACACTTCTGCTAATGAAGACAACAAAATTAGAAGTTGTATAAATTAAATACACATTTCAGGACAATGTGATATTCTCACAAGTGAGGGATATTCTGATAGTTGTCCAACTTGTGATGAACATCTCAGACTTCTGAAAATATTTCCCATGCTATGCTGCTTTTCATCATAATTTAGTGGAAGGAAATATAAAAGATACTTTTAGCTGGAGAATTATATGAATGAAATGCAGGACAGATTTTATTGCAGTGGATGGAAAAATGAATACTAGAAAAAATCTATGAGGTTTTTTGAGAAGATAATGGTACACAACATGATTTATGCAGTCTAATAGAAGTGTAAGACTAAGACAATGAACATTGATCACACAGATGTATGTACAGATAGGTAAGACAAACACGTCAAGAGCGGCTGAATGCCAATACAGCCAGCTGACAGACTAGATGGAAATGTGAACGGTGTTAAAGAATGAAAACAAATATCACAATGGCAAATAGTATTCTTCTGAAGCAAATAGTACAAGCACGTCGTGGAAGAATTTGGCAGCGGTCTTCCTCACCTCGCTTTGCATGAGACTTTGCAGGAACATCCAGAACTTCCCGTGATTCTCCAGGTGCATCCAAATTCCTGTTCTCACTCAAAAGTCTACTGGCCTGCTCAATTGTGTGAGCAGGTTCTGATTTCCAGTATTCTTTTTCTCCTTCTGCTTTCTTGGGAGTTATTATCTTACCTATGTTTGAGGAGTAAGCAACTTCTCCATTTGCAGGGATTCCTTTACTTGATGGTATTTTGTCTGAAAGCTTTCCCTTCTCCTTTTTCATGGGAACAGATGTGCTTTTTCCAATGGCATGTTTAGCTGATGTTTTTTCATCTGACGTACCTTCTGTCACTGGAAGTTCTTTTCCAGAAAGCTTCACTTCTTCCACAGTCAAAGATTTTTTTTCTTCAGCTTTATTTTTGCTGCTTTTGAGAGCTGGAGTTTCCTTATGTTCATCCTGAATGGTATGGGCTTCTTGAGATTGTTTTTTATCTTGAATCCCTGGTGGCTGAATAGGAACTTTCTTTACTGACTCAGATCTGTCAACTATTTCATCTTTGACTCCCTTTTCGTGTTCTCCTATGGAAACTTCACCTTCCGTTCCTTCTCCTGTAATCACTGTATCAAATTCTTCTTTTTCCACAAGCAGCTTTTCAGGGGCATTTGACTGTCTCATTTTGTCTTTTTTTAAGAGAGTGCTGAAGGTAGTTTTCTCTTCCTTCTCTGGTATAATTTTCTTGCCTTTTTTCTTATCACCTGGGAGTGCGTTCTTAGTCAACAACTGTCCTGAGCCCTCCTCATAATGAACTTCTCCGTTCTCTGCAGAATATTTTTCTCTTGCTTTCCTTTCCACTACTTCTGGCTTAAGAACAGACGGTTTAAAGATTATGTAAGCTTTTTTGCTGGGAACCTCCTCATCTTCAGTGGGATGTTCTAGCTCAACATCTTTTCCCAGTGCTGGTTCAGTCTCCTCAGACAGGTCTAAGGAATGTAGTTCTGCTGATGTAAAGTCCAGATTCTCATCTTTCTCACCAACTTGAATAATTTCCATTTTCTTTTCATCTTTATTAAGAATCTTATCTATAGGAATTTCAGCTACTGTAGTACCAGATTTCGTCATCCATTGAGTTTTATTTTGTATACCGTGCTCCTTCAGGGATTCTTCAGGAGGAACTTCAGATTTCTCTAGAGTAATACCTCCTCTCTCTTCTTGACTTCTAAGCAGAGGAGTTTCAGCTACTCCTGCCTCTGTGATAACCTTTACAAATGAAGTTTTATCCTTAATGGGGAAGTCTTCAGGTGGCAAACTGATTTTTGATTTTCTCTCTTTTCCTAGAAGTCTTTTCTTGTCCCTGGGCTCATATGGCTCTCTGGGTAAATGTTTAGTTGACTCAATTTCTTCTTCTTTTTCATGCACAGGAATCTTTCCTTTGTGAGGAACACTAAACTTGTTAGAGACTTTCTCTACAGTGCCTTCCCTATGAACAACCAATTTAATTTCATCCCCCTTATCTTCTCCAGAGTCTCTTTCTGCATGTTCAGATGCTATAGAAATAATTTTCAGTTCCTGGTGTGGTGGTTCATCCTTTGCATAAATAATATGATCTAGTGCAACTTCTATTTTGTCACCTGTAAGGGTAGTCTGTCTTGAAACTGTAGGTGTCATTTCTGACTCCTTTTCTTCAGGACCCAGGATAAAATATTTAAGAGCCACTTTCTCTGGCTCATCTACCTCTGGCTTCAGTACTCCATCAGCTGTTTCCAGTGAGATTTTGAACTCAAGTGGCTCTACTGTCTGAATGTCCAGAACGGTGTCCTTAGGACTTTCTGTCTCTTTTACATGCAAGCGTTTCTCAACCAAAATCTTCTTTAACACAATTGACTCGGGCTTTTCTTCTTCCACTGGGGGCATTTTACCTCTATGCTTTAGTACAGATGGTGCATCAGGCTTTTCTGCAGCTACAAAGGTTTCACAGGTAATTTAGAGAGTTAAAATCCATAAGAATAAGCATCAGGAACAATATTAAGACAAAATTTCCAGCTATACCTGAAATAAAATGAACATAGAACACTTTTTCTCCACACAACAGAAAACTTACAACACAGTCACAAAACAAAAGAAAGATAAGAAGAGCACACACAAACAGTACAGAAGACCTAAGTAAACCACTGTTATTGAGCATTGTCCCACTATTTTTGCCAATTTAAATCCAATCCAGGTTAAAAGTAGCAGAAAATGACGGCTTTCTAAGGCCTATCTGGCCATCTATTTAAAATGGGTTAGTTGTGCCACTGCAGGCCTGGCTACATCACCAAATCAATGGCCAAGAGACATTCATGATTACACTTCTCAAGTACCCAAGATTTGAGCTCTACTGTAACTTGAGGCCCTTTGAACGATGGGCGAGCAGCATGTAAATCAGCTCTACTGATGGACCTCAGGCTCAGAGTGCTTCAGAGAAATTGGACTCTTCACAGCTCGTTTTTTTCACAGCAGGGTATGATCTAGGGTTCTGAGTGTATCAAATGAAAGTAACAGTACTCTAGTTCTTCAACACCACTGCCACTTTTCCTCAGGACTTCCATAACAAATTAAAAGCAGGAAACCAAACAACACAAGAATTGTTTAGAAACATGTGTAAAGTTTCTTTTGCTATACAGAAAATACAAGATGCAGTTCAAAAGACATACATCAGGACATAAACAACATCAAGGAATCAAGACAATGCACAAATTTCATAGCAGGACAATAAAAAAAGACACACATATCACCATCCACAAACAGGAGCACAGATTCATCTCTATGGTATATCAGAGACACTTGCTTTTTAGATTAGGTGACAGCACCTAGAATAACAATATCCTTGAATAGGACCTCAAATCTTCCTGTAATGAATGAGTTATGTGACTGTACAGCTCTTCATTCTCTTCACCCTGAAGGTATTTAGGTATCTCAGAGAGAAGAACTGTATAAAGAGCATAGAATAAACATAAATACCTGCTTTCTTTCCAACCACTGGGACTGTCACTGGAGTAGTAACAGCGGGTGCTGGTTCTGCTACTGGTTTTGGAGATTTTAGAACTGTAAAAAAAAAAAAAGTCCTCATATATTTGTTTTAATAAATTTTGTTTTATGTATGATGTTCTTTAAAGTGTTCTGTAGATTGCATGAAAGTTCCAGTCTTAATAATATTAAAGACATTTGTTCAATGCCCTTTTAGACTGAAATCTGAATGGAAAATATTAGATGCACAAGAAAGGCTGCACAGGTATTCATGGCTAAACAATTCTTACCTACTGCAGGTTTAGGTTCAAGCCCAGGAGCTGGGATAGCTGCTTGCTTAGGTTCTGGTATTTCAAACACAACAATTACAAATAGGTTAATTTACTTGTTTTGTAATCCCATTGAACATTAAAGTCAGAAGCAACAATACACAGAGAGTTAATCAAAAGAATATATTGGTTTATAGTTTATTTAGCCAGAAAGCAAGAAATTAACTTGAGATGAACTCTTGTAAAGCAAGATACATTTGAAAAAAGATTAAACCTTCAAGCACTGAAGAATTAAAGACAGCACGAAATCCAGAAGAATGCAAAGTCGTTAATCATGAGACAATAACCATGGACATACTGGACGATAGGTTAATATAGCATGATATTCAGCAATGAATATAATTTAGTTGCCGCAATAAGGAAAAAGAGCACCACACGTCTGTACCTTTTGGTGGTTCAGGCACATGTTTCTCCTCTTTTTTAATGACAGGTATCTCAATTTTCTTCTTAGGAACTTCTGGGACTTTAAAATAATATTTTTATTTCATAAGATATATTGAAACACCTTGAATTCCCAAATACAATTATCTCAAATGCATTTAAATGTTTTCATTCTTTTTAGAGATAAACAGTTTCAGGTTGTTCACAAGGTTTAGGAATTTGTATTCTTAAGAGTGAGATTGGAATAAATTAGAAACACTATATGGACAAAAGGACAAATATTTGCAAATTAACTAAAAGAATGCTTGGATTAACTGTTTTGCTGTATTTATATTTTTATCAGTATTATAAAATATTTATAAAGTTGTCTTCTATACACAGTGAAGATTGAGACACAACCGCAAAATGCAGAAACCAGACATAGATGTGGATGTTGAATTTGGCTGTGCTTTCAGCAAAGCTTTAATCTAAACAATTAGGTTAATGCAAGCCATCTTTTAAAATCCCACTTTCATTCCTGAATTTCAGAGAATACTATTTAAAAGTGGTGGTTGTTTTTGTTTTTTTTTAAAATCATAATCTACCATATAAATTTCAATGTAATCTAGTACCTTCAGGTTTCTTAATTTTTTCTACTGGTGTAGGTACTGGTTTAACTTCTGGTTTAGGTTCTTTTTCTGGTTTAGGTTCTTCCTCTTCTGATTTCTTTTTAAGAACTTTAAAAGAAAAGGAATTTCAGTTTTTAAAGCACAAGTAAACAAAAGAATGAGATGATGAACAAGACAAAAGATTAAAAAGGTATCAACAATCATGAAGAAATAGGAACATAAAATATATAGTTCAATATAAATGGAAGATTTTGTGTAACCATTCAAAATACTATTCTGAAAGCCTTTTAAAACTCAAAGTCAGCTAGGGCAAAAAGATGCTTTTATTAAGAGCAGTCCAGCTAAGAGGAAAGACGTCAATGTTAACTGTCTATGATAGAATAAAATTCCTTATAATACCATATTTTTCATATTTAAATGATGACTTACTATACATAATTATGCATTAATAACTGGTTACAGATCATTTTCAGGGACAAAATACAGGATTATGGATTAAAATCCTACTGACTTCAATGAGAGAACAAGACTGAATCTTCAAGTGCTGTATTTGGAGAGCTCAAATTTATACAATGTTTTTAATTTCACTTATTTTTGTCCTGTCAAGTATCAGTGTTGAATATCTTACGAGACTGTAATCTGAAAAACTGAATATCTACATTTCATTATGTTGTCTGAAATTCAAAGATTGGCTGCAAGGTACATGGGCATGAATATCCCACTGTGGTATTTCAAAGAAAATTGGAATCGGTTCTTCCTTTTTCTAAGCAATAATTGAGCACGAAGTGATTCAGAAGGCTCCAGACTTTGCAAGAAAGGGGACTGATGTCCAGTAGTAGGACGGGGTTCTGCAATCTTTTTCTAAGAAAACGATAAAAGTGTACAGGTGCTACATATGTGACTTTAATAACATTTACACTGTCACTAGAAAATATTTAGGGGTCTAGAAGCTGAAGACAGTGGAAAACTGTCAACCCCAGTATAGGCTTTACAGAGATTAAAAAACCAAAATAGTTATAGGGAATGAGATTTTCAGTGTTCTGCTCTACTTCCGTCACAGATCCTTTAGATCTGACAGATTTTCAGGATATCCCCACTTCATCCCTGCAACTATAAAGGCTTTGCTCAAGAAACAGACATAGGTAGTACTTTGTTCGTGTAATTTTCCATACCACACACATAAAACCATGTTGCTTAGGGGAATATAGTGAACAATGTCAATGTGCTGGGTTTTTAAAAACAGAGCCAAGTTACTATACCTCTTTTCAAAACCACTTCTTCTTTTGGTGAAGGAGTAACTTCGGGAATTACTCTGCGAGGTTTCTTTACAAGTCCAGGCACTTAAAAGAATATTATTCCAGATTTTATTATGGGTTCATAACAGAGTAAGAGCTGACCAACAACTAACCATTCCAAACACATAAATCAATTGTTGGTCCACTACTGAATATTAAAAGCAAAGGTAAAACTGCTGAGATTGAAATCAATAGTAATACTTTTTTCTATATTAGTTGTGTATAGTTGTCTTCTAGGTTTATGCAGAAGAGGAAATTTTCATACAAATGAACAAAAGAGAAGCATGATTTGACAAAACTATAAAGGTTATGTATTCAAAGAGAGTTATTACAGTAATATTTTTATCTCCTTTACCTCTTTCATTGCAGGCTTATGTTACATATCTATTCATCTGAACTGTCTATCTATGATGTTCATAAGGATCCTGTTAGTTTAATTTCTAAACTTAGAACAGCATTAAAAAGAGATGTTCACTGCTTAGCTGCTTAGTTTGTCTTAAGCTCCAGTACATGTGAAAAAGATAAGGGAGTACTTGTAACGTGGCTTGCTCAGTTAATCATTCATCTCCACCTCTGAAAAGTGTCCACTCACAAAATAAATTACATTTCAGACAAATAATAAACTAAGTATGTTTGAACAATGCTTATATATTTGAACAGTGCATTATTTTTTATTTCTCCCTAAGCAGAGAACAAAAGTGAGCATCTACACAAGTGGCATAACTCATGAAAACTCTCTCTCTTCTGTGATTCTGTCTCTTACATCTCATGAATTGCATGATGGGAGATTAAAGTGGACATAAATACAACATGAAAATATACATCCAAGACTAGAGTCCACTGTTGAGCATAATCTAACACAGACAGCTTTTTGATATTTCTGAGCAAATTAAAGAAGAAGAGGATACAGAGAACTAAAATTTTGGGCTCATGAGAGGCTTAACTTAAGTAAGATTCCTAAATTAGCTAGGTACCTTTAGCAGGTGGGGGTTCCAGTTTTGGAGGCTCACCAGGTTTTGCAGTCACAACTTTCTTCCTTGATTCAGGAGCTTTAAAGAAAGTTATTTGAATTTTACCATACACATCATTAGATCCGAAAAAGAAAAGAACTTTCTAAAAAATCCAAACAACTGATTAATAATATTGACATAATAGAAAGACAAGAGCTACAAAGCTAAGATTCTTTCTGATTAACTGTTTAGAAGTCAGATGATCTGTAAGAAGCACAGTTGATCTGGAACCCATGTTCATATAGTAACACCAGCAAATTATTGCTGGGGATTCTTTTCATTTGTAAGAACATGTTAAAGAGAGAAGAATTATGTTAAGGATAGAAGAAGGTGTTAACTTGGTTAAGATTTTTTAAAATAAATTGATTTTTCTATAATTATTGAAAAGAATCCATGTAAACTGAATTGGCATAAAACTGGCAAAAAATCATAAGGGCCTGAGCATTAGGAAGGCGCACCATTAGAACAACAGTAAATTAGACAAGAAAAAAAAAAGATCCAAAGGGATATGTTTAAAAGCATGCTTTTCAAGACTCATCAGTATTATTTAAAAGGCTTATATGTTTGAGTTCCCACTGTTAATTGTGGCTTCAGATGATTATACCTTTAAGTAGTTCTTTTGCCATTTTAATATCTTCAATTGGTGGAGGTGGTGGTGGTGGTTTTCGCTTCTCAGGGATCTTCTTTCCAGGTTCCGGCACTTTAAATAACATTAGGTAGATTTATTATAAATTTACTACCACAGAAGTTATATGAAGAGTAATATACAAATGTAAAGAAGGTAATTTTCCATTTCCAATTAAGGCAGTGAAAAAATCTCATTGAATTAAATGGGAGTATGGAAGAGGCTTAGGCTATTATTTTGTAGCATGCACACAATACAAATATCAAAGTTGACTTAAAAAAGCATGTTAAGAACAGGAGAGCAAAGGTGGGAAACCAAATGATCGGAAGACTCTTGTTGACAAGAAACAAAGTGAATGTATTTAAAATAATCTGTACATTGTACTTAGAATTAAGATATCAGAACTCGTTTCCAAAACATAACAGAGGAAGAATTACACAGAGATCTACAACATACAGGTACATGTGTGAAAAACGACACAGCAAGAGAAAAACTGCACAGTAGTGAAGGAAAGGTGTCTGGCAGCCTCTAGGTAGGTACTTGGTATACCTTCAACTGGTAAAGCTTCTTCTACTTCTGCAACTGGAATTTCTTCTGCTTCTTCAGGCTCAATCTCCTTTATGATTTCATATTCTTTAAAGAATATTGACAACTGGTGTAAGTTCCCAATGATAAGATTGTTTCACATGAACAGTTATGTAGACATGACTAAAAAGAAATCTACTCCAATAGACACAGACAAATACACATTAGGATAAGTAATCACTCAGCATCTGTCACCTTTGCAGTTAATGCATGCTTTTGAAAAACTACTCTTTATGTAAGAATGAACCAGGGTTGTGTGAAGGATAGTATTTTTTATGTGTACAATATAAACTAAACATTACATTTGTGTATGAGTCATTGTAACTGGAAAGAATAAATTCTTCAATGTTCTGAATTCATTTAAGATTATAACAGCCATATAAATACTAGGTTTAAAGAGACTCAATTTTAGTGGGGATTGATTATTATTTTAAAAAGATACACATTTGTTAGGAATATCCTGTGTAGGAGCATATGCCCCTTGAAAATTTTTAATTTTGAAAGCGGTATTTTACTTCCAAATATGAAAATATAATGGTAGATACATGAAACATAGATGGTATAATCTAAAATACGAAATGAATAATTTACAAACATTACAAAGGGAAAAAAAAATGGACAACATCTATTTTAAAGCTTATGTTTGGAAAAACAGGACAAGGAATTGTCCTTACAGTAACAGCTATGATGGCATATACCTTCACTTGGTAGTGGTTCAGGTATTTTAGGAACAGCAGCAGGTACTTCCTCCTCTAAGACAGGTTTCTTGGGCACCTCAGGCACTTCAAAAAATATTAGTTCCTTTTATTTCCATGTATATAAATGTACATACGAAACATAAAGAAGACAAAGACACCTCGCACACAGCAAATCACAGCGAGTAACAGTGGCCATAACTTTGAAAGACAGTTTGTGCTCCAAAGAGTGTTTCCCAAGGTAGTCTACATACAACTGACACATTTAATAGACTCAGTTAAGAACAAAGAGAAGAGAGAATAGAAAACATTTCTTCTCAGGAGATGCCTCCTGGCAATATATACCTTTGGTTGGAGAAGGCTCTGGTTTTTTAAATTCTGGCTTTTTAGGCGTTGTAAGAGGCACTTTCTCTTCTGGGACAGTTCTCTCTGGCACTTCAGGTGCTTAAAGATATTAGTAAATTTTCATTTTAGTGAACATTAAGATACATATATACACGCAATAGTGAAAAGTGCAATGACTAAAAAGAGTAAAGCATTCAAAACATGAAGAATAAAAATTCAAGTGACAGATTATTCACTCAGATACCCAAGTACTTCATACATCAGTGAAACAAGGGAAAAAGTATTCAGAGAATAGAGAAAATGAGAGGGTGAGTCACTGATGTATGTACCTTTGACTAAAGGAACTTTATGTTTTTTAAGGACAGGCACAGGCTCTGGTTTCTCGGGCACAGGCTCTGGTTTCTTGGGCACAGCCACAGGCTTCTTGATCACAGTCACAGGCTTCTTGGGTACAGCCACAGGCTTCTTGGGCACAGCCACAGGCTTTGGGGGAATGACCACTGGCACCTCCTCTTCTGGCTCTTCCTCCTTGGCCACCTCAGGCACTTTAAAG